CCAGGTCACGATCTCGCGGTCCGTGAGTTCAAGCCCCGCGTCGGGCTCTGGGCTGATGGCTCAGAGCCTGGAGCCTGTTTCCGATTCTGTGTCTCCCTCTCTCTCTGCCCCTCCCCCATTCATGCTCTGTCTCTCTCTGTCCCAAAAATAAATAAAAACGTTGAAAAAAAAAAATTTTTTAAGTTTAGCGTTGGGAATGACAAAGGACGTTAAGCACACATTATACAATCAGCGAGAAAGTAGAAAGTAACAAAAAGCATGATCCTAACAATTAGACATTACAAAGGAATATAACCACAGAAGTAAGACAGAAAACAGTCAGGGAAGAGAGAGATCACTAGGAATTTATTCAGGAATCAATGCAAGACTTCACCTCAAATTGGAACCTTAAGGTTTAACAGGTAATTCTCAAGACACAACAGCCATGGCCAGAACCGTGACGTCTAATCCAAAGCCTCAGGGAGACATCTTCTATATATGTTTTCAAGAAACAAAATATTCCTGGGGCATCTGGGTGGCTGAGTCAGTTAAGCGTCCCACTTCAGCTCAGGTCACGATCTCACAGTTCGTGAGTTCAAGCCCCGCATCGGGCTCTATGCTGACAGCTCAGAGCCTGGAGCCTGCTTTGGATTCTGTGTCTCCCTCTCTCTCTGTCCCTCCCCCGTGCATGCTCTATCTCTCTCTCTCTCAAAAATAAATAAATGTTAAAAAAAAAAAAAAATTCCTGAAGCCAAGACTACACTGTATGTTAACTAACTTGAGAATAATAAAAAGAAACAAAATATGTACTGTAGTGTCTCTCACCTATTTTCACAATAAATAAGTCTGAGCTAAGTACTTGGAGGAGAAACCAAAGCACAGAAACTAAATACCTTGCCTCAAAGTTAAAATTTTAAAAATGTACTGAGGGGCGCCTGGGTGGCTCAGTCAGTCGAGCATCAGACTCTTTATTTTGGCTCAGGTCACGATCCCAGGGTTGTGGGATCAAGCCCCATGTCAGGCTCCATGCTAAGTGTAGGGCCTGCTTAAGATTCTCTACTTCTCCCTCTGCCCTTCTCCCCTGCTCGCACTCTCTCCATCTCTAAAATAAAAAAATAAATAAAAATAAAAAAGTTCATTGACTTTCGGCCCAATGTTCTCGCAGACAACACAGAACTCCATTCCTCAAAGAGCTGGAGTCCATGGAAACTGGAAATTATCTTCCCTAGAGAGATCCATGTGGTTGGAAACCTCTGGGTGAAAGCTAGTAGGAGGTTAGGAAGAAGAGCCTCTACGACTGAGTCCTTTCGGTAGAAAACTGAGACACAACCAACCTACTCTGACATAGTTCTTTTGAGAACTATATTGAGAACAATATTCCACAGCGATAATAAATAAAAGTGGCCACTGTCCCTGGATGCCCGGACTCCACAGATGAGGTAGACACCTATCATGTGAACGGAGCTGTAAGCTTCCCAGGACAAGCTTTTCGAACCACAGTTGCTGTGTTTTCTTAGCACACGCACACCGCTCAGACTTTTACGAACACACTAACCGATGAACACAAGAGATACCTTAAAATGCCAATATTCAAACTGACTGTCTGCCAAACCCTGAGTGACCTTCCCAAAACATTCAGTGATGGGGGCGTATTACTCTATTTCTGGCTAGGGCCAGCTCCTATCAACATACACAAAGATTCTCCTACAGGCTTCAGAGCCACCTCAATACTGCTCTGAAAAGGACTCACACTTGGAGAAACAGGCCTAAAGGGTAAAACAGACTGAGGTCACTTACAAATCAGCAGGCACCGGGAAGAGAATTTAACTTTTCTCTTAGTCCAGACCTCCAGGCATTTCAAGCAGAAGGCTGCTGCTCAGTAGAATTCCAACTGTTGTAACGTGCTTTCCAGCAGAAGAGGGAAAGATTACTTTAACACACGCCCTGGGCGAAGCACTGCTTAGAAACCCGAGCGTCATTCCTTCCATCTTCAGGTCTGAGTCTGGTAGGTTCCCCAGGACGACCGAAGCACCTCTCAGGCAGACCAAACCCTTTCCTTGCCTTGTTCGCGTTCACTGAGGAGGGGGCCTTACCTGGCAGGAGCTAAACTCTACCCAACCTCCACGACGACTGTGAAATAAAGAAAAGGAAAGGCAGGCGCCGCGACCCCAATGCTGCCAGAGCAAAGAGCTAAGGAGGAAAAGGCAAACTCATCCTCACAAAGTTCAGAAGGAGTCCCGGAAGAGCTCCAAAGGGGCTCCTGGGCGGCTCGGCTGGTGAAGCATCGGACTTCGGCGCAGGTGGTGATCTCACACAGTTCGAGAGCTCGAGCCCCGCTTCGGGTGAGCCCAGCTTCTCTCTCTCTGCCCCTCACTCATTTGCACCCTCTCTCTCAAAATGAATAAGCTACTAATAATTACACCTACATGCATAATAATAAATATACGTACGATAATGAAGATACAGTAACTGTAATAAAAACATATATGTACAAAAAAAGAAAGCTCCGAAGAAGAAGAAACTCTTCACTAAGAGCTGAGAGGGGAAAGGAAGTGATATCCGAGAAGAAGATGGGCAACGTTTGTAGTATTTACTGAGTGTCGAGTACATGCTCGTCTGGGTGTCGAGGATACAGCAGTACAGAAGACCCCGCCCCCCCCCCAAAAAAAGTGGGGACAGCGTGCGGGCACAGTAAGTGACAGGGATGCTGAATTTTAGGCCGGGGGGTGGCAGGGCCGGCCGGAAGACGCTTCGAGCGGGAACGTGGAAGCTGGAGGTGTGGCGATCTGGTTCAGGCTTCGGAGTGGGGCTGCCTTCGGTGTGAATCCTCCCTTTAGCCCTCGGCGAAAGTCCTCGGATCCGCGAGTCGTCTGTAAGGGAGAAGCTGCCTCCCGGCCTCGAATCCAAGGAGATGACGCTTCGGAAGCGCTGGGCCCGGGTCTGGCGCCACTAAGCAAGCGCTCTTCCAAAGTAAGAACGGTCTCCTCCTTCCTAACATTTCATCTTCGCGTCCCCAAAGTCCAGGACGGTGCCCGGGACCTCTTCAAGGGTTTGGGCCCGTCGGCTGGCGGAGTCAAGGCACCAGAAAATGAATGGATGGATGGATGAAAGGCTGCGCGGAGAAAGAGGGGCAGAGACCGCAGGGAGGTGGCTCGGCGACCCCCGGAACAGACCTCCCAACGAGCACATGGAGGAAACCCGGGAACGTCGCCGGAGCGGGGCACCCGAGGCCGCGGCGGGCACGGGGGGAGGCTGCGGCGGGCACGGGGGTGGGTGGGGACTCCCCCGGGCGACCGCGAAGCGTCCCGTCGCGCCTCGAGGGAGCGTCACGCCAGACG